CAAAATAGCTAAGTTAATCTTCATTTCTAACCTAACTTTTCAGTATTTAGCTCAGCTTCTGCTGTCAGGCTTGTGATAAAGCCTTAGTCACCATTACAAAAAACTCAGACTGTTTACCCTTTAAAGAATAAGCTAAAAAGCCTCCAAATCCTTCACTCACATAAGTGGTTCTCAATGTATCCACTTTGTAGCTGATATTTTTGGTTTTGGAAATGTTAAAAGCCACTAAAATCTAGATAGTAAACCAGCTAGCCAGCCAGTGTTGAAGTTCACATTTATTAAACAGACCTTCAGATTGTAATTACTGAATCAGTAAGGCTGCAACTATTTACTGGATTAATGAAACCTTAACATGATGGGGAAAAAAAACCACCATGATTTCACAAAGGTGTTCTTAGTTATAAAAACCATTAGTACAAGTTACATAGCATGCTTCTCCACTCCTATATCTACCAGGAGGTCGTATTACCACACCCTAAAATAAAGAAAAATTTTTTTAAAAATAATACATCTTCACATTAAAATAAGTTCATTGTAATAACGGACTATTAATTAATTACAAATTACAATTTATTTATTATAAATTATTAATGTCATTAGTTCTCTTTGTTTTCTCCCTAGTAAAGTGTGACAGATGCCTACAACTTCTTTTCCTTAAACTACTTGTAAGAATGGCAATCCAAGTGTTTAAAAAACCAGAAGAATGTATTAATTTAATCTCCGACATAAATAGAAGGATGATATTGTTAGTAACTCAAATAACAAAGTGCAACTCCAGCATAAATTTTTGGTGAAAAAGCACAAAATATTCCCTTCTTACAGGACTGTGGAAGGCTTCCAGAAAAAGTATGGCTTGGGTTTTTTTAGTTAAGCAAATAATCAAAATGTTCCAGCACTTACAAACTCCATTCTAAACTGTCTAGCCTTTGAAAAAACAACTTTCCACTTGCTGTGCAAACCACCTAAGCACCCTCTAAGCAATGGTGTCTGGTGGATACAAGAAACCTAAATCTGTCCTCCCAAGATTTTTCAAGAAGTGAAATTAGAAAGATGACATTTGCCAGAGCTTTGCCATTCAAGATACTATACATAGAACCAGAACAGGCCCCCTTATTATTCCCTGAGAAAGTTTGAAATTTAGCTTTATCTTTTCATGTCTTTATTTAACAACACATTTCAAAGACTGATTAAGAGCAAAGTATGATTGCAGCATACTGAGCAGTAAGAATACTACAATTGTGTGCAAATTCTTGAACCTCACCAACTTCACAGTTTGCAAACAAATTCAAACCCATTACTTGGGAGCAGTAAGAGTGACTATACTGTGTTTTATAATTGATATTCTACCCCTCCTTAGCATTGTTACTGTGCCAGACTAACAGGTATTGCACTTATTTACTGAAATTACTTTAAAATTTTGTCAAATTAAATGTAATATTGACATAGAAATAATAAAACCATAACAATTTAGAGAAATACTAGGTTTAAAAGTCAAGCATTCCACTACTAAAAACTAGGAGTTCTGAAGAACTTATTAGAAATGCAAATTTAGGCAGGTTTTGGTATAAAAAAACCAACCAAACAACAACAAAAAAGTCTTAATTCCATCACAGTTCCCACTTGATGATACTTCAGATACATACAAACTTTTATTTACTAATAAAATCGGAACAAGGCATACCTTTGTGGAACTGCTTTCAGTAACTTTTGCTAGCTGCCAAAGGATTACATAATGAGTACACTGCAGTGCATGAATAACAATCTGAAACCAAAAGGAAAAAACACATTAGGAGACAAAGGGCAATAAAAGACAGCAACAAAAGCTATTTATTGTTGTACCTAAAGAACACTTTAACTACAGACCTGTTCTGGCATGTCTCCATTTTCAATGCCAGTTTTCAATAACTTGTAGTTGCAGCCAAACAAGTCCCATCTTGATAGGTCATGAGCACTGGAAACATTAGAAATGAAGCAAAGATGGACTTTAACACTTTCTGCAATTTGATGTTAACAACTATTAAAAGCTTAACTGGTGAAAAAGAAAACAAAACCTCAAACAAATACAAAAAACCTACCAAACACACACTCGACCCCAAAAAACACACACACAATGAAAGCAAAAAAATCCCAGAAGATTTCAGCTTCGTATATATTTCTTTATATATTCAAAACGCATCATGTTCTGCACAACTCTCCATCATTCACACTAAACAAAAAACGGTATGTGAGTTGCATTTAAAAGTTAAGAGATATCGAATTTAAAACAAAACCAATCCCCCCCACACTACAAACTCTGACAGATGTTTGCAGAAGCCTACATACTTGTGGAAAGCAGTGATTCTCTTCAGTGTTGACAAGACTTGATAGGCATCGTCTTCATCAGGTTCCTCCCCCTATTTAATAGTCATACAGTAAGATATCCCATGCAATTTATGCTAAGCAAACTAAGGAACTTAAGAAGATTTTAAAAAACTCCCAACCAAACCTCAAAACATGCCCTCCCCTAAACCCACCCAACAACCAAAAAAAGAGAGCGAGTAATAGAAAGAACTGCATCTATATTATTTATCAATGACACATTTGTTTTTAAAAGAGTTAAAGAGTTTGAGAGAGAAGGCAGCAGTTAATGTTTAAAATAGTTGGCAGCACAAGGAGAAATGGGGGAGGGAGGTGGGGAGGATGGAAAAGGGAAAAAAAGAAAAAAGTCTAGGAGAGTGGAATAGAATGTATTATATAGGTGCTTCGATTTTCTCTGAAAAATCCAGTAGAGGCCACTGTCAGACAACAGATACTGGACTAGATGGGCCACAGGTCAGTAGCTCAATCTTACCTTAATCACAGAAAGAAAAAAAAAAGTCTTTGAGAAAGGTAAAGGAAGCCTTTTGTTCTAATTTTCCCACAAGTTCTGAGAAACGTGCATTTGTAGAATGAAAAAGAGCAAAAAGGAAAGGGTCCAAAAACCTATCTAAGTACACAGGATAAACCATCCAAGTTCACAGAAACTCTTCGTGAGTGTATCAGAGATACTGCAAGTCCAATGCACTTTAGTGTTCTGCAGTTGCACAGGCTTATCAAAGCACTATGGATTTCAACACTTCGACCAGAGCATTTGCCATTTTCCTTCAAGTTAATCGTCTGACATTTCATTTCCTTGGTTTACCTCTCATTCTTTCTTTCTTTCTCACAAAAGGGGAAACAAATGGATTCCTAAGCACATAGTCCACACATGCCTAGGGTTTCTAGACCGGAGTCCTAACTCAGGCCAATAAGCAAGAGGCAAAGGAGTAAAGCTTGAAAAAAAAAAAAAAAATGTTTGCATGTCAGAAGTGTGGAGAATGAAGTCGTCAAAGACACTTCCCATGCTCCTCATCACACAATCACACATGAGGAGAAGAAACAAGTTTTTGTTTCAATATCAGAGATCACACATAGTGAAGTTAAATAACTGTATCAGAAAATTCACGCTCTTCAGATTAGCACAGTGTGGGAACTAAGTGATTTTTAAGCTATTAACTGCATCTGCTTGCATTCAGGAAGGGAGGAGGAGTGTTTTCAAGAGATTTTTATATTTATCAACAGCAACATGCAATCACTGGCAAGACTAGCAACACCGGTACATCTGAGGACAACCCTAGTGGAATTACAATGCTGCATCTCTCAAAAAAACAAGTTTCAAAAACTAAAGGTGAAAAGTTTATGTAATTTCATAGTTTATCTGAAACTTCTCTCAAATTCCCAGATGACATCTGTCAAAAGGAAATTTAAAGTCTCGCTGTCCTAATACAAAAGAACAGTCCGAGTTCACAACTTCACAGCAATGATACTGTTGTATTATTATGCTTGGTTTAACAGTTTTGAAAGTCAGAGGGAAGTCCCATCCCTAACTCACTGACTTGCAGAGGAAGGCAGAAAAACATCTTGGGAGTATTTACAGGGGCAGGAAAAGTTGATCTTGCACACTAAAATACCTCTTGCAGGAAGTCTTCAAGGAGTCGATTAAACTTGTCTGCCAATTCATCTATTAACTGACTTCTCGCAATGTCAACCCTGTTAAAGATTGTGAATTCTTCATTACAGAGAGCGTGGTATGTTTTTGAACAGGCTTCCAAAACATCTATATCTGTGTGCTTCTCTACTATATCCCGGATCTGTCGCAGTAAGGCATCCAAATGCTACAAGAAAGATGAGAAGTGGGAAAAAATATGTATTCATATATATATATGTATATTATATATATACACACACACACATATTTTTAATAAAACTTAAGGAATTTTAGAAGAGAAATTCAATTTATTACTTTTGTAACTATGATACAGAACACAAAACACTTCCAAAAAGCCAGTGAAGCTTCTGAATAAATTAAAAATCTATTTATCAAAATCTAAGTAGGAGCTTGTCAAAGGCTAAAGATTCAATCCATTTTAAAAAGTAACAAAAAATTTGCAATTGTCGGCATGGTTTTATCTAACACTTGAATCTGCAATGACAACTGAACAACACAAGCATTTATCTCCCACTTACAAAAACATTTATATATGGTCTTAAAAGCTGTATAATCTAAGGTTTAGTTTCATAACACTCAAGTGTCAGCACTGAAACCAAGTTCACTTGTTCTTATATGCCGCCCCTCAACCTGAGCTGCTCACTGCTGCTCTATCACTACCAGGCTATGCTGTCAACTAAACGTTTCATTACTACTTTGACTGTAAAGTCTTTCGGATTCTTGCCTCACAATAGAGCAAAACAGTGTATCTGAGAAGGAGAAAATAGAGATGAGAACAGCTTACACCAACTTCATCACCATAGCAGACAAAATGAGAGCAATAACTATGTCATCTGTGATCTGTTCATGCAATGAAGATGGTGGTTTTAGTTTCAGTGATCAAAAAAATAAAAATTATCAAGCTTTTTCTGCAAGCTTTCTCTCTCAGGCAGCATACATCAAACATGACCATAACCTAACAATAAATGCTCTCACATAAAGGTCATCTAACTGTCAAGATTCTCTGTTAAAACTCACCAGACAGGTCTTAGAAAATACACATTTTCAGTATCTCTAAGAACAGCAGCCAGTTGCAGCTCTGAAGTCCAAGGCTCATTCTCAATAAGGGTTATAGTAAGTAAAGTCTTACAGAAAAAACTGCACCTACAATGGTGACTGAAATGCCAGTGACCAAGTCTAAATTCTGGGTTTTCTCCTTACCTTTTCTAGTCGCCCTGTTGTATAAATTTCCAAATCAAAGTACTGTGGCAACTGCAATAAGTTGGTGACTTTTTCTGCATCTACAGAATACTATAAAATTGACAAGGAAAAAAGATCAAATGAAAAAGTCTTGGACAACACAATTCCTTACAGAACAATTAAATACTAATAAAGGCGAATAAGAAAAAAAAAAAAAAATGAAGACTTGTGCAAGCCATACAGTTAACTACAGAAACTGTACTTGTTAGCATTTCAACAACAGTCCATCAGCAAGAAATGGAATTAAACTTACCTTTGCTAGCAACTGAGGAAGTGCCACGGCAAAGAGTTCAGTAATTTTTGTCCTGTCATCCAACTGTGTTTTCTTTTCCTTTGCTGTCAGCACCTAAAATAGTGGTATTGTGAGGATTTTACAACTAAAAGTTCTGGTGCAAAGTTTAATTATCATTAATAAAATGATAGCTAGGTACCCAGAATTTCTAATATTACTGTAAAATACGATTGGAAAAAAAAAAAGACAATTAAAAACATTCAACACTCAAAAATTGCAATTCAAAGTTACACCTAATACTATTGAGATTATCTTGAAAACAGAAGTGACAATCTAGAACAAAAGGTTTACCTTCCCTGCAAAAAAAAAAAAAAAAAAAAATCATGATCAGAATGTTCTTCTTGACAATGAAAGAACAGCAAACCTTTCAGCTGACTTAAGGTTTTTAATTATATTTACTCAATTCATATGTCAACCTGATCTTCATACAAGTTTCTAATCTGTACCTAAAGTGGTTTCTTAACAGAAGCTCCAATCTTGAAAGCAGTTTCCTTCTCTGCTTAATACCCCAATAAAAGAGGGCTGCCTAAACTCTATATATTCGGAGAAAAGTCAATTGGTGGACTGTGCTCCTTCCAAAGAGACTATGAAGTACATTCCGTTCCCTCATTTTGCATTTTCAATCTTGAAATAGTTTAGCTTTCCCAAACATTGATTTTGGTTCTCCTTTCCAACCAGTAGTTCTTTCAAAATCTATTTTGTATTACCTTTAATAGTAGAAACAAACTCAGAAGTCCAAACAGTATTAAGCACATGCCAAAGTGCAGAAAAGGTGAACTAGTTGGAGTAGTCAGATACTGGAGACACTGGACACTGAAGCTGAATTTCTGAATTCAAGTCCCCTCAGCAGAATAGCCTACAAACTTTTCCTTCTTCCAACACTGTACCCACATAAATAATCCCACATCTCTAGACAAGTAGCTTTTTGCTTCCTACCCTTTTCCCTGTTCCTCTTCCCACAGGAGGATGACATTCAGCTGCTTGTCGTATTGTACAAAGCATTATTTCAATCAGTGCGCTTTCCTGTCTATCTGTTAAAGCTGAAAATTAAGAAACAGATGTTAATACACAGCTTGATTTTTCATTTTCCACAAGTATTAGTATCTAAGGTTCAAAATATGTTTATTTTAAAGAAAAAAAGACAGGCATTTAGGCCAATAGCTCATTTCTAGGGAAGGTGGTGGCACAGCAGAGAAGATAAGCACCTTGTAAAACAACACGAGAAAATATTTAAAATTGAGGGAGTCTCACTGGATGAGTCACAGAACAGAATGAGACAAATACCAAGTTTTATAATAATTTTGGTTCCTTTTCATTTTTCAGAGGCCTATCTACTAGGACCTATGAATTACAGAATTATGCTGGGGGGTTTGTTTGGTTTTACTGTCATTAAAGAAATGACAGTATTTTTCCATAGGGTAGTTTTAACATTCAATAAATGAACCAGTTTTAAAAGCAACTTGGTTTCTCTAACACTACAAGTGCAGCCTGAACCTGTGGAACAATAGGGTGACTGGACACTGCATGCTTACTCCCTCTCTTTTCTTCCCACCATTGTTCTTGTGTGCCTCACTTCCATACCAGAAGTGATCTCTTTCTACTCTTCCTCACATTTTATAATTAGTATTAGTGATTTATTATAGTCATGTAAAAATAGAGGATATATGGGCACTCATAAATGTAAACATCTTATTTCCTTATAAATCAAGGCTAACAGAAACCGCATAGCAATCTAAAGATAGATCTATGAAAATCTTACGTTCTTCTCCATTCAGAGGCTCCTCCAACAGAAGACTGTTCATACATTCCCAGTCCTTCAAGAGGTCTGTTGCACAGTCCCACATGCTGTCCACAAGATAAGCAGCGTGTTCATGCAACTACAATGAGAACAGATTAAGTATTATTCTTTAACAGCAATAAAGGTCATTACAGAACTTGCTGTATTACAGGGTATTTTTCTCATGTGGCTTCTGTCCATGGCAAAAAAAACCCAGAAAATTTTGTGGGCTCTCTGGTTCAACAGAAGCCTCTCTTCCCCAATTAACATAAAAAGATAAATCCAGACCAAGTGCTACAAATAGCAGTACTACAATATCTGTCAAAACGTGGGGGATAGGAGGGTGGTGGCTGTGGGGGTTGTTTGTTTTGGGGTTGTTTTTTTTTTTTTTCTCCCCTCCCTCCTTATAAATTTCCTAAATCACAAATTCTTTCCACCTATATATTAGCATGAAGAATGACAGAAGAACATTTGACAGAGAAGAGCTCAGTCTGTCTCAACAGTGTGTACTGGACAGATCCTTCAAATAAATACAACCACATGAAACAGTCTTCCAACATGCAGGTTGCTCAAATAATAGGAAAACCAGAACAGATTCATGTTTATTAAACAATGAGCAGGGAAAAGAAAAACAACAAATTAAATTTAAAAAAATAATTGAAACAAAACAAAGACCCAGAACAACAAACATCAACAACAAAAAAATCACCCAAAAAACCCAAAAAAACAAAACACACACCACAAAAACAAGGGTATTTCTGAAACTCAACTTACTTCACTTTCCAAAAAGAAAAACACTAAAGTCTTCACAAGGTTAGCATTCGGACTTTGTCTTCCCCTCCTTTTAATTATTCCATCATCTTCAGGATCTTTGCGGCTGAAAAGCCTAAAAGAAAAAATTATTTCAGGACAAGTTTCTTCTTCATTCCCTTTGCCACAGTCAACTCGTATCAAGACACTGTTTTTACAGACACACACTTAATACCTTGCTGCTTGGCTTCACGTTTTATTTTGAAAGGAAGACAAGTACCATATGAACAATTTCATACATGCTGAGATGGTATTTCACTGACTGTTTCCATGTATAATGTATATGCAATGTATAATTACAACAAAATACTTTATGAATATCGGTGATAATTGCAGGTGCTTGAGGTCCATGCTCCTCTTTGGCAAACTATATTTTCTGAACCTCCCCACATGAGACTTAAAGCAGCAAAGAAATATCAGAAGAAGGTCTGAAAAGTATTAGATGGAAACTCTCACTTTGTTTCCCTACAAAAATATATGTGTTGAATCTCTCTTTTGGTGGTGTTTGGTTTTCTTTTTTTAATAAAACAGAAAAACACTTCATGAAACAGTCAACATGAGCCAACTTTGGGGGAGGAGCAGGGGGAAGGGAGGTGGATGGAACTACACAATTTTAGGTATCAAAAGACATAAGCATTTTAAGATGTTTCACGGAACATGGGAAGGACGGGAAAGGAGAAGACAGGAATGTTTTTATTATAGTCACTGTAAGCACAAGCTTTTAAAGCACAGCCTTCAAAATTACTCTCCATTTCCAATTCAGAAAAACCACAACAGTTCAAAAACTACAGTAGTGTTACATTTTCTGTAAGTTATTTCTACAGGTCATTTCCTTATTCAGTTTCTCCTTTTCTTAAATAAAACTAATGTGAATTACAGTATTAATGCACACCCTAAAATCTACAGGAACAGGAAGTTAACTATAATTTCCCCATCTTACTTTTTATAAAGAAATTCCCCTGCAGCAACTGCTACTGGACGATGAGCTGAATAAACCAGATGGTAGACATTTTCACAGTCTTCTGCAGTCAGAACTTCTTCACTACTCCTAGGGGTGGGGATGGGAAGAAAGGGGGGGGGGGGGGAG